TATATTATCTCATTTAATCTGCACAACAAGCCTTTGTGGTAGGTACTTGTTCCAGGCAGGCAGACATATGCAAATTTACCCTCAAAGGTCGAAGAAGCTGAGAGTCTGAAGAAAGACTATACTATACCCCGTTTCTCAGAAAGAAATGTTTTCAAGGCACTTACAAACAGAAGCCATAGTCTCAGGCTGCAGCAAGACAAGATGGTGGATCTCTAACCCCGGACCCAGGGCTGATATACCATAGGGAAAGGGCATATGTGCTTCAGAAGGAAGTTGCCTAAGGTCAGGATTTGTGGCAAATAGTAGATAAAGTGAAAATCTTAGAGGCTTTCCCAAAACTGGGTTTAACCGGAAGTCAACATGGCAGATCAGCATACAAGATGGAGTTGCTTTCGCTTCCACAGTACTGATTAGTTCTATCTTACAGAAAGGAAACAGACCAGAGGAATTAAGTAATTTGCTAAAGGCCACCATACACACTAAAATGTGACAAAGAGCATGATCTGAACTCAAGCTAGGCTGCTCTGAAATCCCTGTTCTCAGCCACCTGCTATCCTACCTTCCAGGACAGCATCAGAGACATTAATTAGAGCCATAGATTAACTTAAGGTTGGTGACCCCCTGAAGAAGCAGTGGTGAATTCAAAGTTTCTAGTCTGGAGACCTGGGCTCCTGATCCAGGCTTTGCACAGAGAAGAGCCTCATTAAATATACGTTGAATGAATGACTGAGCTTGATGGGTCATCAGAGACAGGGCTGGGAAGGATACCGGAGAGCAATAAAGAGTTCAGTGCTGGAGGTATGGAGCCAGAACCTGCCAATAGTATCTCAGACCTGAGCCTCAGCCTGGGGAGGAAGCTGGCACTGCCCACCTGGGAGCTGTTGGTAAGAGCGGAACTGCAGGAGTGATGGACACTGCCAAGGAGAGCATGGTTTTCAGAGTTTTGGTAAATAAACAAAATGCATTCTCTTTTGTGTTTTCATTTCTTTCTAGGACACAACTGACCTGAGGATAAGAGATGCCTGATTCTTTGAAAGCTTCATGCTCCAAAACACTGAGAGAAGAGGGGATGAAGGGAAAATGGGGGACATCTTCAAACAACAGAGGCTATCATGTTAGGAAAAGAAGCAGAACCAGGGCTGGGGCAAGCTCCTCTCCATGGAAGGGTGGGCTTTCTAAAGACACGTGCTACCCATCATCAGTTGGGGGGCCTCCCCCAAGGGGCAGGTAGCTCCATTATGGCACCACACTGGGAGTTTCAGCAAGGAGGGAAATGGAGTTGGTTGTGCCCCAAAGAAGGACAAGGTCCATTAAGCACTTCCTGACATGCACACCCTCTACCTTCCAGGCAAAGAGGCTCATGGGAGTTCCTGCATATCCTCTCCAAAATTCAGACGTTGCCCATGTGATAGAACTAAAGGTGGGGCCTTTAAGAGGTGATCAGGTCATCCTCCCTTGCGAATAGGATTAGGGTACTTTTAAGAGAGGCTCCATGCAGGGTTCAGTCTCTCAACCTTCTGCCTTCCACCATTTGAGGACACAGTGTTCCTTCCCTCCAGAGGAGGCAGCAATGAGGTGCCATCTTGAAAGCAGAGAGTGGTTCTCACTAGACACCAAACCTGCCAGTGCCTTAGTCTTGGATTTCCCAGCCTCCAGAACCGTGAAAAATAAACTGTTCTTTGTAAAGCATCCATTCTCAGTATTTTGTTAAAGCATCACAGTCTAAGACAGTGGGGGAGCAGACCAAGTCATCTCTGAGAGACTTCCAAACTCCAAGGCTCTAAGACTTTAAGCCAGAGTTTGGTGAGAGTTACCCACTAATGTTTAAAAATTCCTCTTCCTCAAAAACACAAGCCATCTAAACTAACAAATAGGAATACTGTCCTAGAAGGTACCCTGCCGCCAGCCTCATGTGTGTGCTGGGCAGGGGTTGCAGCCTGGGTGTGCACTCCTGGGACAGGGCTGGGGGAGGTAGGGACGTGGTCATCAGGTCCATGCTAAAATTTAGCCCAGTGACCAGCAACCGTTGTGGTTGAGGCAAGTAGCGAACAAGCCCTGACACCACCCCCAGAGGAGACGCAACCACCCCACCCTGTCCCTCCTGCTTCACAGCAGAAGAGTAGCAGCTGGCCTTCTGCTGTGGAAGGGTGTTTGCTAAACACTCCTCCCTGGATAAACTATCAGTCACCTTTGGGATGACTCCTTCCTCCACCCTCAGAAAGCAGGTTCCTCAGCTAGTTGAGCAGCCAGAACTAAACCAGAGAACTACAAAACTGGACAGCTAATGAACAGATGAAGAAACTGAGGCCCAAGACTGCAAAGTGAAGTAATGGTCCAACCAGCTTTGGAAACCAGTTATCTTGAATCCAAGACCCTTATCATTCAAAAAACGTGCTGCAAACACCTGCCCTTTATCAGACACTGTGGACCCTTGGAAATGCAAAGATTTATGCAAAGATCATTGTCCCTGGGGTGGAGGAGAAAGATGCTGAACAGAAAACTACTATATGGTCAGGTTTGGCCAGGACACCCTATAGGAGATAGCCCTCCCTCACACTATCTGGGCCCAAACCATTCCCAGTTTCCTCTGGCAGGGGAAGGTCCAGCTGTGTGTATAAAGAACTTTACTGGGAGCTGAGAGTGCAGGCAGGGCTGGGCCAGAGCAGGGAGGAAGCCCCACCACCTACTAGTACTGAAGAGCCACAATAGTGACCACTCAGTGGACCTAGCAGATAAGTGACTGCTATCAGCAGTCACAGCAAGGCAGTCAGTTTCCATTTCATGAAAGCCCACACTATACCCTGTACTGTCCCCAACCCCTGTAAGAGTTCAGCAAACTGGATGAGGTGCTGCCCATACTTCAGAGGGGGAAACTGAGGCCTACAGAAGATACTACCAGCCTGAGGTCATTCAAGCTGAAATGTCTAAGTTGGGACTCCATGCCACTTTTTTGCTTTGTTTCTCCAAGCTGTGCCAGGCCAAGATACGTGATCTAAATAGCATCCTCTACTGCCCATACTTAGGGCTGAAATGGAGACTGACTTTGTGCTGAGCACAGGACAAAGGTGGCCCAGCTAGGGGCTGGCCCATCAGGACCATGACCTGGCCAGCAGGCCAGAACTGAGGTCACACCACAACTGGACCAGACCAGGTCAGAGAGCTGGAGTTGCAGGCCCTGGACTGGGAATGAAAACCCCAGGAGATTCAGAGGGAAGGACAACTGGCCCCACCTATCCCAATACCTGGAGTAGAAAGAGGAAGTAATCAGGCTCGGCAAAACCATAGTGTGGGGCTGAGGCTGGGAATGGTGCCTCTTCTTCCCCTCCCTCAAGCCTGGATCATATTGAGTTTTATGATTTGGCCCTTTTTCCTTGGCCTGTGTGACACTTTCCCGCACAAGTCAAGGTGACACAGTAACCCAAACTCCCTGCAGATGAGGACATGGGGACTCCCAGAACTGAGAGACTACCTGGGTCTCACAGCTGGTTTGGGGTGGGGCAGGACCTGGCCTGAAGCCCAGATTGTCCTATCTCAGTTCCTTGGCCCTGGTCCCTCCTGGCTCTTTTCTGGGGTTGACTGAAGTTAAATGGTCTGAGTCAAAGTCCGCCACCTTTGTCCAGTTCCAACTCCATGAAGGAAGCCACCTGGTGGTGTCTGGGACTCTCAGCCCCCAGAGCACAGCCTCTGTCCAAGCACCTGCAACCCTTCAGAAGCTGGAGAGTCCCAACATTTAAATCAGTGTCCTCTGGTCATCGACAGACTTGAGCCCCACCAAGGCAGCCCGGAGTCAAGGTTTCTGTGTCCCAGCCAACTGCAGTGGGCCCAGGGTCGCAGAGCTGAGGCTTTCTCTAGGAGGAGGAGGTACTCACCCTGCATCTGTGCAGCTGCTCTGCCCTGAAAATGTGAAGCAACAAAAGGAACTGGACGGGAACCGTGTTGTTGAACAATGTTTCACAGAGCACTGTCTCTTACACTCCTCACTCCATCCTCACAAAACCCAGCAAAGTCGGAAGAAAGCCCCTGCATTTTAGATGAGGAGACCAAGACATGCCTGGAGAAGAGATCATGGCCGAGACGCGACCCCAGTTTTTCTGACTCTGAGTTCTGGTCTCTGTCAATCTCTTGCCTGCTGCCCAGATGTGACTCTATCTATGATCCTCCAGCCAAGGACTGGGATGGTTTCCAGATTCACACTCATGTGAGAAAAGACATCTGGACATTTTTAAACGCCCCAAGTCCACAGGGAGCAGGTTGGCCTGAAGGTCGGGAGATTGGGGAGGCTCACTGTCACCAGAAGATGCCTCAGATCTGTTCTTCTGTCTGACTCTCCTAGCCAGGGAGACCCATTCTCCCTCCATCAGCCAAACTGGAAGTGTACCTGGAGGCCCCGCCAGTATTTCTCTGGGTGCCAAGTCACTCCTGGGCAGCAAAAAACAAAGTCCTCCTTGGCCACATCAGACTCAGACTCTTATTCTGTCTAGAAAATTACACCTCCCAGACTGACATCCAGCAGGGATAAAGTCTACACCATTAGGAGTACAGACTCCCTAGTGGTGTTGGCGCAGTGTGTGTGTGTATGTGTGTGTGTGTTTGTGTGTGTGTGTGTGTATGTGTACGCACACATATGTGTGCACACGTGCACATGGGAGAAACACGAGGCAGGTCTGCCTCACTGAGGGGATCGACTCAGTGGCTCAAGTTCACAAAGGATGCAGCAAGAGACAGAAAAGCCAAGGCAGTTTGCCAAGGGCTCTCTCAATCCCATGGCTCTACAAGAGGGGTCTGAGCAAGGTGGCCCCAGATGAAGATAATGTCACAATTGTTCTGAAGCCTCTGAAGCCACAGGGCAGCCTCACAATCCCCTCACCCATTAGGGTCCAGACCGGAAGAGGAATTCTTGGATACTGTCTCATAAAATCCCAAGTAACTCCGAGGAGGAGGGTTTTTGGGGCAGGGATGGGATCGGCCGCTACATGAAGGGGTGAGGCAGGGGCACCTACCTGGACTTCACGTGTGTGATAGGCGATGATCAAGCCCAGAAGGATGATGGTGGACAGACTGATAAGGCATTTCAGGGCCAACGAAAACATGGAGTCCTGCAGGAACAATGGAGAGAGAGGATTAGGAAGCACCAGGAAAGGAGCATCTCGCTTTACTCTGAGGCTCTGTAAAAGGGAAGGAGTGAGGACACAGCAGGGGCTGGTGACAGTCCCTCCTGGGAGTAGGCCTAACACAAAGTTAGCCTGAGCTGCAAAGAGCCTTGGACTGTCCCTGGGCCGGCTCTGTCTCCACAGCCGCCCCCTCTGAGCCTCTGTTTTCCCGAGTTAAATCATATTTGCATTCCCGGGATGAGTCCTACTTGGGCGTGATGTATTATGTTTGTTATACATGGCTAGATTCTGTTTGCTGATGTGTTATTCAGGATTTGTGCTTCCATGCTCATAAGTCATACGAACATCAATCTTTTTTGTGCCGCTATTATATGGTTTGGGCATCAAGATTATGCCTGCCTGGGCCCCCGTTAACAAACCTGGACCAGAGGATTTCCAAGGTGGAGTTCTTTCAGGAATGAATTAGAATGTCCTGGCAGCCGCTCTCAGTTCCTGGCTTAGGCCAAGGGCAGGGGAGGGTGGTGAGGGTAGCAGAAGAGTTGCCAAAGAGAGAAGCGGGGGGGGGAGACACAGAAGCAGAGAGGGGTCCTGGGAGGGAGAAGGACCCTGGGAGTCCCTCCTGCTGGGACCAGGGGTGGCAGGGTGGGCCGCATGACCTCCCCTGCAGCCTTTCAACTCAGGGCGGCGTAGAGAACCTGTAGCACGTGGCTAAGAGCATGACCCCTCTGGAGCCAAACCCTGACAGAGACACTAAGGGCTATGTAACCATAGGCTGCTCACTCCAGCTGTCTGCACTCGTCTGTCTCATCTGTTGGATGGGGATACTATTAGGGTCTACTTCACAGGGCTGTTGTGAAAAATAAAGGAGTATATGTAGAGTGCCTAGAACACTGCCTGATGGGTATGTGTTGAGTGTTAGCTACTATTATCGTTGACGCTGTATCCTCTACAAATCAGGGTGTGTGGGTTGAGACTTGGAGTGTTCCTGAGCATCTGGAAGCCCAGAATCAGAGCTAGTTTCCAGTTCCAAAGGAAGGCAGAAACACAGCCCCGAGCAAAGGCAGCAAATGAGACCGGGCAGCATTCCGAAGCACTGACTGTGTGGCGGCCCCATGCTTGGTCTCAGAGGTCAGCGCCACATAAGAAACACCTCTGTCCTCAAGTTGCTGGTGAGCAGATGATGCCCAGTTTCTGTAAAGCAGCGTATGTTTACACAATAATTTCACATATTCGCTCTCATCCATCCTCACAACTACCCTTGGTCTTTATCCCAACCTTATAAACATTATCAGCGGAAGCCCAGAGAGGTACATGGCTTGTGCCAGATTCAAAGCCAAGGCCTCTAACTCCCAGGCTAGGGCACTGCCCACCAGCCCTCGGGTACACTCTCCAATGGGAAACTGAGTAGAGATGTGGGCAGTGTCTGTTTAAACAGACCTAGATGATGTCTTAAGACAACAATGGCAGGTAGGCTATTTTGCCAAGTGAAAGCAACAGAGGAGGTCGGGGAGCTCAAGGGAGGGAGACACCACTGTGGAAGGGTCAGAGGAAGCTTTCAGAAGTGGATGTGAGAGGCGGCTGACACCGGCAGTGAGGTGGTAGTATCCAATGTGGCCACCACAAGAATAAGAGGAGGGTTTGACACTGGACCCCAGATCTCCCATATGCCCAAGTCCATGATCTCAGCTGCCCCCTGTTGGCTGAGATGGAGTGAAAGCACACTCCCTGGTGTCTGTCAGTCTCAGTTCATTTCAGTTCGTTTATTTGACAGTTATTGAGGCCCACTGGGGATAAAAGGGAGAACTAATGAAGCAGCTCATTCTTTCATTCACTCTTTCACAACAATTTCAACCATTTATTGAGCACCTACTAGACACCCAACAGTGTGCTAGGATACACAGAGTGGACCCCTGCCTGCCAGAAGCTTCCCATCTAGCTTATACACAAATTCTGACTTCCTATACAGTTTGGGTTTGTCCAGCTATGGGGAGAGGTTCCCACTGTGGTATAAACACAAGTCAGGCTTCCTTAGGCTCTTCATGCTCTACAGTTTAATGAAGAGCAACCTGCAACCATTTACTCAGCATACATGTATGGGAATGCCAAGGGCGACGAGTGCTGTACTGGTCCTTTGTGAGCAAAAAGAAAGACAGAATACAGTTTCGGTCTCAGGAAGGTTCCAGGCCCAGTGTGATGGCTCACGCCTGTAATTCCAGCACTTTGGAAGGCTGAGACAAGAGGATTGCTTGAGTTCAGGAGTTCAAGACTAGCCTGGGCAGCATAGCAAGACCTGGTCTCTACAAAAAAATTAAAAAATTAACTGAGTTTGGTGGCATGTGCCTGTAGTCCCAGCTACTTGGGAGACTAAGGCAGGAGGATCACTCGAGCCCTGGAAATTCAGGCTGCAGTGAGCTGTGATCATGCTATTGCACTCCAGCCTGGGTGACAGCAGAGTGAGACCCTGACTCAAAAAAAGAAAAGCAGGAAGGCTCTGATCTTCAAAAGCACTGCTGGATGCCTAAAACACCACCCCAGCCACAGGACCCAGACGGGGCTGGAAAGAGCAAGCAGTGAATTGAGGCATGCTCTGAATGCTTTAGGAGACGACAAGCCTTCCCTAGCCTTCCCTCACGAATGAACTGGGACAGCCCACAGTGTTTTCCAGCCAGAAATGACCATAACTTTCTTCTCAAAGGGGTCTAAAAGCATCTGGGGAGCATCACACCTTCTCCAAGAGGGATTTGGGATCAGCTGCACATGTCAGCCTCTAATTTATTTCTTTTGGCAGAAATGAACTATAATCAGAATCCAAGCTTATTTCCATCATTTTTGGAGGAAGAGGCAAGGGGGCCACATGCTGTCTCCTCTCCTTTGAGCCACTTCCTTTTGTCCCAGAACTCACAGCCTTTCCATTTAACAGGCAACTCCCACCTGCTTTTTGGTTTTGGCCAGCGCAGCCTCGGTGGCCAGCCCCAGCCCTGTGGAGCGACCAAGCCTTGTGCTAGATCGATGGAGACTTGGGAGACTTTACAGATTTTCTTGCATTCTCCACCACACGTCAATAAAAAATAAACCATCGACCATTGTTAATGGCTGGAAAACATGTCAAAGAAGCCTGGCTGGGCTAGAAATGTTTTCTATATCTTAAAATGTTGAAATATCATATTTTCTGTGCTGCTTGAATCCCAATGAAGTTTGAAATTAATATGGTTCTTGGTGGGATGGCAGTGACCTAGAACTGCCACACAGGGTAGGGCCCTGCCACACCTGTGGCACCCTTCTAACGGCCAACATGGGGACTCACAGCGCTCAGAGAGTCCTGTGGCCAACAGGTCAACTGGTCAACCCTGCTCCCCTGTGACTCATAACTTTTCAACACCAGAAATACTTAGGAATAAGATCCTATTTAACAAGAGTCATTCTTTAAAACCATTTATTCCTAAATGCCCCAAAATATTCCAGCAGTTAAGTAGACTTGAGACCAATCAGTGATAGAACACAATGCCACCACTAAAAAATAATCCTGTGGAGAATATTTGAAAATGTGGAAGAAGGTTAATGATATAATAGTAAGTGAAGAATTCAGACCCCCAAACTGAATATGCAGCATATTTCCAATTATTCAATTTTTTTAGACTTTTTTCAGTGTAGAAAAAGACTGTGTGAACATATCAAATATCCTGAGCTACTGGAGTGTTTTTCTTGTTGTTTTTCTTTTCTCTTCAACATTTCTACAGTGAGAATATATTATTTTTGTAATTGAGAAATTTCTTTTTTTTTTTCTGCACCTGAGCCCAGAACTTCTAGAAAGAGGTGTCCTTGGAGCCAGGGGGATTCATAATGACTCGAGACATGAAAAGCACCTGCCTTGGTGGCTGGAGTAAACGCATGAGCCTCCAGCCCATCCCTTTGATGGGGATGGAGGACACAGGATCCCAATCTTCTAGGCCATTTCATTTACCCCATGCCTTTCCTCTTTCCACACTAAAAAATGCTACCATACTCAACTCACAGCACAAGATTAAACACTCTGGCCAAGTAGGGACAGGGCCTTTTGTAACCCTGGGACCAGGTAGAGGGCTTCACCCAGCTCAGATGACTTCATTGCTTCAACAGATTTCCAGGCCACCAGATTCCATGAATCATATGATCATACCGTATCACCTTCATAACCGATTCAATGCTCTGACTATAATAGGCACTTTATAAGAGCTTCTTCAAACTGCTTAGCAATAGTACTTTATTTTTACCTAACATTTATTGAGTACCAATTAAGTACCAGCTCCCAGAATAGATCTTTCACACACTCCCTCAAATCCTCACCCTACATACAAGGTCTCCATTTTACTGATGACAAAACTGAGGATCAGAGAGATAAAGTGACTTGTCCAAGGTCACACAACTAGCCCAGATTTCGGCCATATATCAGATTTTTTTTTTTTTTTTTTGAGTTAGAGTCCCATTCTGTTGCCCAGGCTAGAGTACAGCGGCACAATCACAGCTCACTGCAGCCTCAACCTCTTGGGCTCAGGTAATCCTTCCGCCTCAGCCTCCCAAGTAGCTGGGATTAGAGGCACACACAACCACACTCAGCTAATCTTTTGATATTCTATACAGACAAGGTCTCACTATGTTGCCCAGGCTGGTCTTGAATTCCTGGACTCAAGCAGTCCTCCTGCCTTGGCCTCCCAAAGTGCTGGGATTACAGTTATACCACATCTGGCCCCAGATTTTTCTATATGCCATGCTTCCCCTGCCTTTAAAACAACCTAGAATCTCGTGTGAGGTAGTAAGTTCCTGTCATCCTAGTAGAATCTGGTTATACCTATCACAGGTGCAGCAGAAAAAAGTCCCAGCAGGGTAGAAGGTTGCACCAAATTCCTGAGAAATGCTTTCATCCGTGTGGTCCCTGTCTGCTCCAGGCAAAGAGCCAGTCCTTCATAGAACTATGACTTCTCAGTGAGGATAGTAATCTGAAATAAAGC